ACAACCACCAAAACACACGACCCAAAAAAAAGGCTGAACCAGGGGGAAAGGGGAGATTAAACCACAAGTTGGGGCCCCTTTTTCCCTCCCCCCTTTCTTTCCAACTCCCTACTGCCCCCACTTCCATCTCCCTTCACCACTCGAAAAACCAAAAAAATGCCCCCCCCTCCCCCTGATTGAAATTTAGAAAAAGCCCAGCGAATGAAAGAAAACCTTGGCACAGGTTTTCCAATGCCATAATTGGGAAGGAATCGTGGCAGTTGTTCTTATCGTTGCTATTACTATTGCTGTCATAACGATCGTTTTTTCTAGTCCTAAAGGAACGTCGTGGAGGGGCTTCACTGAGGAGTTCAAACAAAACGTAAAGTTGCTGAAGTGTTATATGAATGCAGGTTTTCGAGCTATGTGGGTGTGTGTGAAAGCATGAAAAAGTCACTTGATGTGTTCAAATTGAATGCAGTCACAGTCACTGAAAGTGGTGTATTCACACATCAAACCAACACGCATATGGGAAGGTGGAACGAGAACAGGAATATGAAACTGGTGGACTTCTCTCACGGAGAACCTCCACCTCCTCCAGCTGAACTGGAGAGATGTATGAGGTTCCCTCATCCTCTGCCTCGGCCCCCAGCCAGCCCCTCCCTCCCATCCCTCCCCTCCTATCCCTGAAACAGAGGAGACACTCTTTATGATGCATTCCTGGAGACCAGTGACTCTTTCTGATCACTATTGGAAAGTGGCGTCGAAAAGAATGCGTGCTTGATTTGGTCTTACACTTACTGTTAGAGATAGTCTTTAGATAGTAGTATAATTAGATTAGATTTAGTAGATAACTACCTCTGAGGTTGTTTAGATACATTCACAGATGTGTGCTTGTCATTTTGCTGTTTTGACGCTTGATCATTTAACTCACCCGTTTGTCAGCTGAACTTCCTCCACTTATCCATCTTCTGATAGAAGCGCACATCATCTGCATGGGAGAAAAACAATGAATAGCATGACTCCAGTGCCTGTGACTAGCCATGACACCCTAGCCAGATCATCTCGATTCCTCGAGGCTGCTGGCTATGAGCACATCAGAGTGCGAATTTAGAGATGTATGGAGGAGGAATAGGAATCCGAACAAATACACTATAAAAATCCATACGCTATGCAGTGATGGGGTGTGGGAGGGCAGCGATGATTATATACTGGTTCGAAATTCATGAAATTCCTGAAGGAAAGTAAAGCACACATATGAATTTCCTTTCAGATATAATATGTGCATGGAGATTTTCGTGCTATTATAGCTTGATATTGACCCATGCTCATGCCAGTTTGGCGGCTTGCAGATCATGACGTAGATTTGCCATCCCTGAGTAATGTCTCTACCCCATGTTGATACACCTTCTTTACATGGTCAGAATTTCTATTATAGCACCCTCTGTAGTCACATGCCAATTGATGATGATGATGGTCACACTGCTGGTCTGGAAGTATTTTGTACCATGACACCCTGTAATGTGTTACTGTTGCTGAAAGAAAGAAACTTTATAATGCTATCAGTGTATACATAAATGCCGCAGAGTAAAGTGCAATATCAGTTTGAGACTAGCTAAGTGATGCGATGTTGTTGACAGTCATTTCTCTGAGTCTTCTCTGGTCTCTGGTGGAGGTCCACTCTCAACAACAGGGCTTTCCCTATGTCTCCTTCATGGGCCAGACTCTGGCCAACCATTCCTATGTGGACCTCAGTCTAGTGGGGGACAGTGAGAACGATAGTGTTCAGTGTATCACTGACACCATCACATTTATTGATCACGGAGACTGGTGGTTCCCAGATGGGAATAGACTCCCCCAGCTCCCCCCATATAATATTTTTACTAGAGATGTCTATGAGGTTCTAGGACGTAAGAGGGTTGACCTGCGTAGACGTGATAATAGTGGTACCCCACCATCTGGTCTGTATCACTGTGATATTCCAACTGGCTAGACTTTCCCTATCGGCTCAGCTATGAGGAAGAGGGTCTACATGCTAATGGTGGAGGTTAGTGAATGAGTGAGTAGATCAAGTGTAGCTAAAAAATCAACAGATGCATAGCTAATAAATGAAACGACACTAAAGAGTTCTGCTCTGGGTGACCTTACTTGAACCCATGACGCTGCTGTAGTCAGACAGAGGCAGGGATAAAAGTCAGCTGCAAATAAAATACAGCTGCAAAAAGGCAAAGGCAATCTCCAAACTCTGTGCTAAATAATCATATAGCTGTCTATCATGGAGTAGACCAGAGATAATCAACAACGATATAGATGCCCAACTCCAACTGAAGTAGATATGCATGAGTTTTTGCGATAACCAAATCCATTGTACAGATATTTGTTGTGTAGGTGATATATTGATACGTGGAGGTGTGAGAGTGACTGCTGTGGAATCACACTTCAATGGAGCCAGCAGTCCTCAGTTCACCCTCACCTGTATCTCCACTGGTGGACCTGCTACCACTGTCACTTGGACCAGAGACTCCACCACTGTCACCCAAGGAACCCAGACTGTGTTGAACGACCCAGTGACTGCACAGTACACACACACTCTGACTGGGCATGCTTTAGGAGTGTATGTATGCTCAGTTTCTAACAACAAGCCTTCCAGTGCTTCTGCACATATCACTGTTACAGGTATTATTAATGTCATACACTCATGAGATCATTCTGTGCATCCTCGCAACTACTACAGAGTTAAGTTTGGCTCCTGATGATGATGATGACTCATCTTCTACTGCAGCTATAATTGGAGGAGTTGTGACTATTATCCTTATTACTGTTGTCGCAACTGCCAGTGTTATAATAGCCATTTCAGTGCTCAAGAATTGCCGTGGGAAGTTTTCTACTGGCAATAAGTATGTACCTTACCAAACGTGAGCATAAAATTTTACGAATTTTGTACAGGAGTGGGTCGTCAGGATCTGGCATTCACACCTCAACCAATGATGCATATGGAGAGGTGGGGGCAGGAGAGAGAGAAGAGGAACTGGCAGATCATGTTTACTCTTACCCTGCTCCTCCCAGCCAGCCCCTCCCCGCCATCCCTCTCTCACTGACCTCTGAAACTGAGGAAGACACTGGCTATATATGATGTCATTCCTCTTGGGCCCAGTGACTTGTTTGAACTTCAAGTGTATTATTATTCGGATTGCGCCGTACTTTGGCGCGATTGTATAAAGACCAGTGCGCATGCGTTCAGATCGCGTCGACGCATGCGCGGGCAGGTCTCCCCTTTACTACTCCGCTCCGGCCGAATATAGGGCGGGACGTGGTATCTGCACATGTCTCCGAACTAGAGCAGACAAGTGGGTCTCTCTCTATTTTTTGGCATCGGATGTTTCTGTCTGCGATAATTGATCTCTCATGTGAAGTCTAACAACAGCAAGTTCTCACTAGGCTCTATAACTGCACATGTGTGTCTGGCTGTGGCTACAATGCAGAACTGCATGGTTGAAGCATTGGCAGCTAAGGGTGCAATACATCTAGGAATGTCGGTTGTATATCAGTAGCTATGACTAAGGCTCTTTCCTAAAACTCTCAGAGTACTTTGTGAATTTCCTCTAAAATGACGCCATTACTAGAAATGATTATAACCTCTTTCAGAGTGCAGGTTTTACCTAGTATGCTGTTTTTAAAAATGTCGATCTAGTTATGCAACATGCTGTGGTTGTGTGTATATATATACTAAATATGCCAAATGAGGGGGATTAGCTACTCCCCCATGAGCCTCAACTGTGCATTACATCAAACCCCCTTGAGTATAATTATAGTTCCCTACTCGTGTGCCAGCAATGAGGGTTGGTTGTAGCCTAGGGGATAATTATTATAACAGGTGAATCATTTGTCCATCTGTTGTTATGGGTATATACATGGTGAGCAAAATGAACAATAAGGTGCTTCATGAACAACAAAGCATTCTTGCTTTGGGTCGAATTACTGACTAATTACAGACTGTTCTTATAATATATAACCCACTGAAGAAATCTCACTCCCCTAAATGAATGAGCTGATATTTCGTCTGTGTATTTCATCCTCTCTCCTTGTTGGCAGGGTTCCAGTGGGACAGGACTGGAGAACGTCCGTAGGATCATCAAGTATCTCGAGGCAGTCTGAACTCTGAACTCTTCTCGTCATCTTTGTCTACTGCCGCTATTTGCATGACTGACTCTTGACTCACAATTCACTATTTCCCCTGTTTTTCAATGATTATTATTAGTTGTCGACTAATAGGATTGTTATGGCAAACGCAGTCACAGGCGCGCACGACTGGCGCAGGGGGAATCCCCAGGGACAGCTCGTGACATCAGTACGTGTGTGAATACTGGTTTGTGAATACGAATACTCTATCCACCCCTAGTGCAGTTTTCGCTGCAAGCGATGGCTTTCTCCGCGCGTTTTTCGTCTGCAGCCGTCTTCTTTGCAGTGTTTCTGCTCGACGGCTCGTTCCAGGTAACACTGGAGCATCAGCAGTCGGAGCCGAACAGCAATGTCTTCGAGACGTAGACCTCGAGACTGGGGTGGCCTACACCACCGTCTGGCGTGATAACCGAGTGATCGCGGAGCCTCAGTATGCAGCGTTGGTCAAAGGACCAAACTACTTCGCCCCACCCGCCGTTATGTTTCATCTTCGTTTCCTCTTCTTGAACGTTTCGACCGTGTTCGGCGGTGATCCGCATTTCAGCTTTTTGGTGTACGACGATCTCTGCGAAGAAGAGCAAATCCGACCCAATGACACAGTCATCGGACCGTCGTTCGTCGCCAGCTACAGTCCTTACTTGGCCTCTCTGGGAGCGGCGGCCTGGGACGTCATGACGCTCGGCTCTACTGATGCCTCGGATCGGACCAACATCACCACCATCGTTCTGCCGCTGCAGGCCTGCCCTGGGCCTAACCAACGGAGAGTTTACAACCAAATCTTCCAATTGGTAATTATTTTGTGTTTATCTACCTGCTTTATACGTGACAATTGCCAATTGATCGTTTGCGCAGGTTCTTAGGGCTTCAGGTAAGGGCGAAGATCAATTGCAACTCACGCCAATGAGTGATGAATCTTCTGTCCGCTCATCGCAAGTGCATCTCTTCATGACTGTCGGGTTGCTCTCTCTCTTCCTCACCTTCCTTCTCCTTCCTTGCTTCTCAACCCTACTCCACAGTGTCTAGCATCAAGATTCTCGCCGCAGACACTGCAAACTGCCCAACTTAGCTTGCTCTCCACGGTCTCACTAGTGGCAGGCTTCTTTATCGTCTACTTGACTCTCTCTATGATTTTTTACTACTGCCACTTCTCGGAGACAGTAGATGGTGCTTTGTTCCGCGACCCTTTCTTCTCTCCAATGACTCAATGCATGCTCTTTTATAATCTCGCCGGGCTTGCCTCGTTCTTGGGAGGCGTGGTCTTTTCGGGATGCAGGAAATCTCACGTCACATGCTGTCAGGTAATGGGAAAAGGTCTTTTGTCTGCTTGCACGACTGCAGCGTTCTTCCACTCGTTTTTCATCGTCCTTTCTCTATTTGAGGACCTGGTGTCCACACTATCAAACATCGTCTCGTTTTTCACCGTTGTCGTCCTTCTGTTTTTGGCACTGTTTGCAATTCTTGAGCAGTACCGCAAATCTCGATTCCAGGGCAACTTTATCCTGGTCGTCTTGATGCAAATGACTCTCTCAAGCATCTACAACATACTGATAATGTCTTTCCGTCAAATAACATGTGAAGATGAGGGAGGCAGTACTGCTACTGGAGCCTACCTCTGCTTGGTTATTGCAATCTCCATTGCTTGCGTTCTGTTGGCTGTTGCGATGATTATAATGATGGCTGACGGGAAAAACAAGAAGAAGAAATGTAAAAATGATCCTGAAAGTGGGAACACGGCTCAAAAAGTTAATTCTCCAGTGAGGGACGGAGAAAGGGTGTCTGGGGACGTCCAGTTGGTTCAGAGAGGGGAGAACAGGGCAACGGATCTGGCTGCGGTTGCCAAGGAGATGGGGTTCATTGTCCTCATTCCTGGGGTGGTCCAGGCCTGGCAGGGAAGAAACAAAAGTGATGAAGCCACAGTTGCTACGTAGTCCGGACTGTAGCTGCACTGTCAGCACAGTGACGAAGAGCATTTATTGGTCGCCGTATAGTCACGTGTAGCGTTTTCAAGTCCAGTTTAGTGGTTTGCGATCAATTGTCTTCGTACATTTTGATTTTTCACATGCATAATGCAAATAATTTTTCGTAGAAATACTAATACTGTTGTATTATGATTTTTTTGTGTAGCTATATTATATTATAGGGTTTCAATAAAGCCCGTTGCATTACGTACAGCAAGGCAGCCTTCATGTATTAGACCATGCTGGAATCACTATAATTATATGAATAGGTGCTGCTCTAGTTATATTATAGGTATGCAATATTAGCCGGGTCTAATACATGAAGGCAGCCTTAGTACTGTACGTAATGCAACGGGCTTTATTGAAACCCTACACAAAAATCATAATACAACAGTGTTAGCATTTGAAAGGTATCTACGAAAAATTATTTGCAGTATGCATATGAAATCAAAATGTACGAAGACAATTGGTGGCAAATCACTAAACTGGACTTGAAAACGGTATATGGCGACCAATAAATGTTCTTCACCACTGTGCTAACAGTGCAGCTACAGTCCGGAATAGGTAGCAACTGTGGCTTCATCACTTGTTTCTTTGTTCATGTGACCTGTTCGTTTTATTCATTAGAAGCCACTGTAAGGTCATTAATTAACCCTTTGGATGCCATGGGTATAATCTACTGCTATAAAGAAGCAGAAATTGATGTATAAAGTGTTAGCACCTAGTATTATAACACCCATATAAATTCTTATGGACTTATGGACGCTGACAGACACATTTATGTATATCTGTCAGCCACAGACACGCCCAGAGCCTTATAAGTCCAATACTAAGTGCTAATACTTTATACATCAATTTCTGCTTATTTTTGGCAGATACCCACCCATGGCAAACTGTTCATTGGCATGGTATGTCTATACTTAGTCTACTTAGTAGTCAAACTAGTGGCATTGCAGCATGCGCAATTATTACTGGTTCGGAAATTTTATATTGCATGGAGATTTTCGTGCTATTTATAGCTGACCCATGCCATGCTTAGGTCTATAGTTTGGTGGCTTATAATAGCAGATCATGACGTGAGATTTGCCATCCCTGAGTATGTCTTGATACACTTTCTTTTAACATGGTCAGAATCTCACCCTCTGTAGTCACGTGTGCCTATTGATGATGATGGTCACACTATATACTGGTCTGGAAGTTGTGTACCATGACACACTAGCTGTAATGTGTTACTGTTGCTGCAAAAAGAAACTTTATAATTCCCTCAGAGTGTACATAAAGGCCGCAGAGTAAAGTGCAAAATCAGTTTGTGACTAGCTAAGTGATGCGATGTTGTTGACAGTCATATCTCTGAGTCTCCTCTGGTCTCTGGTGGAGGTCCACTCTCAGGGCTTTCCTTATGCCTCCTTCATGGCCCAAACTCTGGCCAACCATTCCTATGTGGACCTCAGTCTAGTGGGGGACAGTGAGAACGATAGTGTTCAGTGTATGTATCACTGACGCCATCACATGCTGTGGTATTATTGACCGCGGAGACTGGAGGTTCCCAGATGGAAACAATGTCCCCCAATATTTTAGTAGAGATGTCAATTTATTACTAGTGGTGTCCATGAGATTCTAGGACCTAAGAGGGTTGACTGCGTAGACGTGATAATAGTGGCACCCCACCATCTGGTCTGTACCGCTGTGATATTCCAACTGGCGTGCTGCCTATCCCTATCGGCTCAGCTATGAGGAAGAGGGTCTACGTGGGACTGTATGCTGATGGTGGAGGTTAGTGAATGAGCGAGTAGATCAAGTGTAGCTAATAAACGAAAGCACTCTAAGATGCCCAACTCCAACTGAAGTAGATGCATGAGTTTTGCGATAGCCAAATCCCGAATCTACAAGATATTTGTTGTGTAGGTGACATTTCGATACATGGAGGTGTGAGAGTGACTGCTGTGGAATCACACTTCAATGGAGCCAGCAGTCCTCAGTTCACCCTCACCTGTATCGCCACTGGTGGACCTGCTACCACTGTCACTTGGACCAGAGACTCCACCACTGTCACCCAAGGAACCCAGACTGTGTTGAACGACCCAGTGACTGCACAGTACACACACACTCTGACTGGGCATGCTTTAGGAGTGTATGCATGCTCAGTTTCTAACAACAAGCCTTCCAGTGCCTCTGCACATATCACTGTTACAGGTATATTAATGTCATACACTCATAATATCATGTCTGTGCATCCTTGCAACTATACTACAGAGTTAAGTTTGGCTATTGTGAAACGATGATTGATGATGAAGATGATATTGGGATGATGATGATGAATGATGATGATGATATGATGATATATTAGGATGATTGCTGATGATGATGATGGATGATGTGATGAGATGATGATGATGATGATGATGATATCGATTCTGATGATGATGATGATGATGCTTCTGCTTCTTCTGCTCCTTCTGCTTGCTCTTCTTCTGCTACTGCGGCTGCCTTCTCTGATGAATGATGCAGATGGCTTCATTTCTACTGCAGCTCTCATTATGAGTGCTTTGTCCCCTTATCCTTAGTCTGTGTTGCAACTGCTTACTGTGTTATAATAGCTGTTATAGTGGTAAACTTCTGTTGGAGTTTTCACTGGCAAAAATTCTGTGTCCTTACCAAATTGTGAGGAAATTTACTAATTCTCTACAGGAGTGAGTTGTCCAGGATCTGGTATGCAACCTCAACCAAGAGTCAATATGGGGGGGTGATGGCAAGAGAGAGAGAAGAACTGGCAGATCATAAGTTACGTCCTGACCCTGCTCCTCCCAGCCAGCCCCTCCCCTGCCATCCCTCTCCCACAGACCTCTGGAACTGAGGAAGACACTGGCTATATATGATGTCATGCTTCGTGGACCCAGTGACTTAGTTATATATATTAGAGTAGCCAAGACCGTACGACTGATTTGGCGCGATTGACATTAGACCAGTGCGCATGGCGTTCAGATCGCGATCAGACGCATAGCAAGCGGGCTAGGAATCCGTACCGCTCGGAAGTAACGCAACATAGGCGGGACGTAAGGCTATCCGAACAAGTCTCGCGAACTAATGTCTCCGAACAGAGAGCGGACACGTGACTCTTTCTCTCAATTTATTTGGCCGGGTTACTATCTTCACGTAGGATGTTCTCTGGTCATCTGATGGTTGAAGTCAACAACAGCAAGTTCTCCCTAGCTCTAAACTGACAAGCTGGTAAGTCTTGTCTGTGTGTGGGCTGAGCTACAATGCAGACCTAGCACATATGCAGCTAAAAAAGTGCAAAAACATCATGTCAGGTTGAAGAGCAGTAGCTCTGACTATAAGCTCTGCTTCTCAGTGTTTTCTAAAAGGATGTCATTGCTATCATGTGATCTAAAGCTCAGTGTACGACCATATGCTGGGTTGTGATGTTTTTTGGGCACCGCATTGTTTGTCTTAGTGTGTGCGTGATAGACTTGCTTTGATGTGAACCTCGATATTAGGCTACAATAATATGTGAATACCAGATTGACTCTCTATGTTTTGCGCGTGTTGTTATATAGGATGAGACTGCTACTGTTGGTTCTCTCGTGTCCTCTCTACTCGGAGTCTGGGTCGATCTCTCTGACAATTAGTCATCAGGGCGAAGTCACAATGACACAGTGTACATTGGGACTCAGCTCACTCTGACCGCTGCACATCTACTCTCCGAGTGATGTGATTCAGTGGACGTGGTTACCGTGGACGCGAGCATGTTTCATACTAGCGAGCCAATGACTCGCATACATCGGTAGTCGTGCAAGTGGGGCTCCGACCAGCTTACATGTCATCCTCGTCTCATTCTCTCCTGTTACCTCCTATGATGGTGGTCCATCACTTGCCGAACTGCACCGTGACAGCTATGCCACTGGCTACTAGTCCAGTTGTGACTGCAAATCTGATACAACCCATTGTGGTTCATGTACGTAGCTATAAAGAGAAATTTTCGTATACACTCTACTTTTAGGTCCCCAGCCAAGTGTGATAGTATCGTACAGGAGAATAGCATGAGCTAGTGTGGGGTCCTAGTCCTCCCTTCACTGGTTCGCCTCCTGTTTTATCCAGCCTCTCTCTGTGGACACCTCTATCACTGTCTCCTCGGTCCAATTGGAGCAGCTCCTGGTTGTAAGCAACCAACAAAGTCAATTCTGATAAGAAATAGTCCACCGTTGGTCATATCCAAGTAAAGACAAGCAGATAGTGGAGACTACACCGTTTTCGTCAGGTGACTGACTTCCCCACTTAATATCCATATAAACTGGACAGTCCTCGAGCAAGCTCTAACAAAAATCACGTCCATAAGTGGCGGCTGTTAGGTAATTCATGCGTGTGGTAGAGAGTCCTCAGCAGACCTGAATGTGACTGTAAGTGCACGCTATGAACATCTCCAGGGGAAGGTCCCAGGGGAATTGGGTCCTATTGAATCACTTCCAGGCAGTAAATCTAACTCTCACTGTTTCTTGAGTGGAACACGTGGAGCTCTGAACTACACGTGTCCTCCTCCTGGGAACCCCAGTACATCTTGACTGTTATAGCTGTAACATTAATACCCTCATCACTACCTCCACCTTGTGGTGGGGGGGACCGGAACTATACTCCTACTATGCTGGCAACTACACATTACTGTGGGAGTGAGTCCTGGGAAATCCAACAGTGGAAACATCAATACTTTCCCTGTCAATGTTTGTGGTGAGCCTATACGTCGTGGTTTGTCGTCGTAATCTATGGAATAATTACATTTTTCAGGTGCG